TAGACCATCTAACAATTTGACTCAGTGAATTCTTGTTCTTTACAGACAAGTTTCCAAACCAAGACACCAGAGAAAATGTTAAGAGTGATTCAATAAAAGCACGATAAAATAACATCATCATGGTCCTGTCAATGTGAAAATGGGCCAATTTCCTTAAACAAAACAGACGCTGGTGCCCCTTTTTACACACTGCTTCACAATTTGCTTCAAAGTTCAACTTAGAGTCAATGATAGTCCCAAGGTATTTGTAAGATTGCACAGATTCTATTTTCTGACTTTTAATAAGTGTAACTTCATGTGGTTTATCTTCGATGACCAGCTGACTTTCAAAGACCACATTGCAAAAACTGCTCGATCTTGCAGGTTTGCATTGCACAACTTCTAAACTTCATGTGGGTGGGCTTGTTTCCTAAAATCAATAATCATATCTTTTGTCTTAGATAAGTTTAATTGAAGGTAGGACTCCTCACACCACTTTATAAAGTCATCAATAACCGGGCCATGGCTGGTCTCATTGCCCTGAAGCTCACTAACAATAACAGTGTCAACTGCATACTTTAAAATAGTCCTGTTTTCCCACTCACTCTGACACATATTTGTGTAGAGAATAAATAATAGAGGTGAAAGCACACATCCTTGTGGGGAGCCCGTAGAGGAACAAACTTGGTCAGACAGCGTTCCATTTTCCCTTTCTCTTTGTGTCCTATTCGTTAAAAAAATCAAGAATCCAGCCCACAATATTGTTACTTAATGTAAACTGTTCTAAAAGCCTATTAATTAGAACATGGGGTTGTATTGTTTTAAAAGCAGATGAAAAATCAATGAATAACAGTCTAGCATGAGACCCATTACCCTCCAAGTGTTTAGCAAGTAAATTCAACAACGTAACTGTAGCATCCTCTACTCCTCTATGTGACCTATAAGCAAATTGCATAGGGTCAAGTGTATGTTCAGTCTTCCTTAAAATTTCTTCCCTTACTAGTTTTTCAAGGGTTTTAATTATAATTGATGTAAGAACAACTGGTCTAAAATTATTAAGGGTATTGGGACTACTGGACTTGGGAACCGGGACTACCACAGCATCTTTCCACACCTTAGGTACATGCTGTACCTGTAAAGACGTATTAAAGATATAAGTAAAAACAGGACTCAGTCTTTTATACATGCTTTAAGCAAACATCTACAGATATTATCAGGCCCACAGCTCTTGTTTACCCGTATTGAAAGGAAAGCTTTTTCAACATCATTTTGAGTGCTGATTATCCTTAAGTTTATCACTCTGAAAAAAAAAACAAAAAAAAAACATCGCTCATTACATTAAACAGAGTAATGGTGTAAATGATAACACTGCTTAAAATGAAGATGGAGAATTTGCTAGAACTACTATTGAGCTGAATTCTAGTCATCAACAAAGAGTTGCGTCAGCAGACAAAATGTTAAATTTGATCTGACTAAAGTGTTGAAAGTGATGAAATAAGCTTTGTGATACTGAATCACACATGGAGAGTGCAATTCAAAGTTATAACGAGTTAATATGTTTTCAAAACACATCTGAAGAGGAAAAAAAGGACAAGAGTAAGATATTGAAACAGTCCAGAAAGAATCAGGAAGACAATGAAAGTAGTGAGAGTGAGTGTCCTGATTCCAGGGGGTGGGGGGATTACAAAAAGTTATTGAAACTGACAAAACTATGACAAACTGTGCAAATTGTGGAATATTTGCCAGATCTCAGAAGACTCCTTGAAAACATTAAGTGTTCAATGAGTGAAGGAAGACTCACAGATAAAGAAAATTGTACAAAAATGAAGACTAAAAAGTTACAAAAATTCAATTCTAATTGAATATTAAAGGGGTCATATGATGCGATTTCAAGTTTTCCTGAGAGAGTGACAGGGTCACATCACAGTGGAGTCAGCTGTCTTAACCGTGGCTTGTGTGCTGCAAACACATACCAGCTTCATCACTGTGTCTGTCACGCAACTCTGTTCCCCTTTCGGGCTCTGTCTTTACATTTATTTTGAAAGATGAAGCTTGCGATTATGGTAAGGTAATTGGTATGGTAATGGTATGGTAATTATACCCTTATTCGCATTGCATCCCTAAATGTGAATGGGGCCAGGGACTGCAGATAGAGAGCACAAATATATGAAATTAATAATTTAATTAATTATAAACCATTAAATACAGCATTAGTAAAGTGTGTAATGGGGAGCTTTTGGTTTTGGGAGGAGATTTTAATTGTGTAATCATGTTGAGCCACATATGGATTCACACAGAAAATTGATACAAATGATACAATCTAATGTGTTCTGTGATGTATGGAGAAATTTTAATTCTAATAACAATATACATGGACACATGCTCGTGACAATTTGTTGTTGCTGGCATGATTAGATTTCACATTTTCAAACATCATCTTAGTGTTTTCAAAAATAGCTCAATTGTTCCAGTAGATTTCTCTGATCATAGTTTTGGCACTGTGTACAATGTGTTTAAGTTCTGTTAAAGGCCTTGAATTGGTTAAATACTAATATTTGTTAAATATTTGCATTTTAATTTGCTAATGAACATAGGGAAATAAAATATTAAGCACTTGTAACGGGGCAACAGGTTAAGTATTCTGTGTATTACACTTGATAACTTTTAGAATGGGCCTAGGTTCGACTCTGGGAGGATTTAAGAATGACTCGTTGGGCCACTTATAGTAAATGAATTAACAGCTGGCACTTTTTAATACAAACACAAGAAAAATAATATTTTGAAAATATTTTCACAGTTTGAATGAATACACAATTTTCTGGTTCCCACTCAACATCCGCAAACGAAGTGAAAAAATGGGTTGGGATTGAGTCCAATGTTTATGAAGTCCAGAAATCAAAATAAATAAACAAAGTCTCAATAATCCTTCAGCTCCTTTGTAGGTATGTGAAATCCTCAAATGTCAGGGTGTAAAGTGTTTGTAGTTACTTTCTACCCGGGTAGTGTGTATATGTATGAGATCTCAGCTTAGCTGTAAACTTCAGCGGATCCGTGCAGAATCACGACAATTTGAATCGTAGATCAGGGCTCTGGCTCTCCAATCGAACAATCACACGAGAAGAATCAGCGTTAAAAAAAAAAACAATCTGCACAAAACAATGGAGCCACATTAAACATCTCTGAAATTCATCAACTTCAACAACGATATTTTCTATCAGTTGCACAAAATGTCTGTAAGTACATGTTAAACAGCTTGTGACAACATTTGACAACGTAATCATGCTTAAAATTACGTAGAAATGCGACATCTCTCTGTACAACGTATTTCTTTTCACTCTTCGGCATTTTCATACTTGTGAATGATGCAATCGTTCAACCGAAACTGATTAACAAGCGTCATACACCAATTAATAAAACAAATCCTCTTTAAACATACAAAAATACATTCTTAACATCATAGGTAACTCTGATTGTTTTTTTTTTTTTTAATAACACATATAGAGAAAGATCAATGTATATTAAAGGGGTCCTATTATGCTCTTTTACAAAGTCTTGATTTTGTTTTGGGGGGGTACTAGAACAGGCTCTATCATTTTCAACTTGGTTCTCTTGATAGTAAGCGCTGGTTGCCACGGCGTTTATCATAAATAATATGTTCATTCTCATTCAGTGACTACCTGGGCCCCGTCCAAGGGATATCCCCACCTTCACGGCGTGTGCCCTTTTAATTCAAAAACTGCAACATGTCCCCATTTTTTTAGCTGAGAGACCTTCGCACTTGACATGGTGTGAATGTATTCGTTCCCTGATGCTTAAGCAAAGCTTAACGCAACGTCAAGGGACATCTCGAAAGGGAATGTCTCCGGTTACTGAATGTAAACTCTGTTCCCTGAGAAGGGAACGAGACGTTACATTCGTGCCGTGTTTCCTTCATTTAGGTCTTATTCAGTCAAAGATTCTGAGGAAAATGGTGCCAAGCGCTGCGTTATAAGTTAAGCAAATCAGGCTTCATTCTAAGGAGAAAGGTGTTTCCCCGATGCGTAAGCAAAGCTTAACGCAACGTCTCGTTCCCTTCTCAGGTAACCGAGGTTACGTTCAGTAACCGGAGACATTTCCTTCATTTGTGCTCTCCGTACAGTTAACGTGTCCTATATGTGTGCGCGCACTGCTACAGTAAACCCGTCTTGTGTATGGCCGCGTTCATATTAGAGGTCGGCCACGTAGTGGATTTTACCGATACCGATAGCTAGGTTGGACTGTTCTTGCCGATAACCGATTAATCAACCGTTAGTTTTTAAAAATGGATACTGGATAAAAAAACAAACAAACATGACACTCCATGTAAAATAGTACTGAATCATGAAAATGTGCTAAACTAAATAAATATGTAAATATGAATATTAATTACATTAATAAATATTGAGGTAAATAAAAGGCATGCAATTCAAACTGAAACAAAAAGTAACGCTCCGAATAAATAAAAACAGTTACATCCAAAATTAATAAAAAGACATTTCAAATAACAACAAATTTTTAACTTGTGAAACAGGGAAAACTTAACTAGTCCTGTTAAAGAACTGCAAGAGATTCAAATATATCATGGTCCATTTCTAGTTCAAGTTCTACTTTAACATTCCAAGTTAAGAAGCCTCAAATTATAATGGAGAAAGTAGAGCTGGTGTGCATGGTGTCCAGTGAGTCGGCTCCTCCTGGCATCATAAAGCATGCCCACTTCACTGAACACCCTTTCACTAGGCACAGTGGATGGTGGGGGGCACAGGAATTTTTTGGACAGATGTGCAAGTGTTTTAAATCTTGTTTAATTTTTCTGCCACCACTGCAGAGGCATGTCACTTCTTTCAATGACAGGCTCTGACAAATAGCACTCAACTTCTTTGTCTCTGGATCCAAACCCTCATCCTGCTCAGGTCCTTCTAGTGGAGGGCATGGATCTTCTTCTCTGAGCATGGCAAGCACTTCAGCTTCCTCTTTTAGCCCTTTTTTCTTTCTCAAGTGTTTCTTCAGACACAAAGGCATGCACAGGCTTTGTATCTGGGATCAAGGAATGTTGCTAGGCCAATAATTTTTGTCTCCTCTGTCTTGGAGAACCGCTTTGTCAGACTGTCAAGCATGGTCTTGCATAAAGTTTTGATCCCTCCTGAGGACGGACCCTCTTCCTGCAGCATCAGCTTCAGAACAGACACTCTGGGGATAATGCACGCAGCTGAAGACCCAGAGTTGCTCATCTCCATTGTGACATCTTCGATGGGAACCAGTGTGTCAGTCAGGTTGCAGACAATGTCCCACTGTGTGGCAGATAAGCAGCTGATATGGCCGTGTTCACCAGCGTACACATTCAGTGCCCGTCTCTGTTCATACATTCTTTGAAGCATGTGAAGTGTTGAGTTCCAGTGAGTTGGGATGGCCTGGATGATGTTGTGCTTTTGGACACCCAGCTCCTCCTGAATGGTTCTTAGCCTCTGTTTGGCCAGTACAGAATGGCCAAAGTGAGTTGCACAGCTTTTCAATATGGCAATAATGTCCAGAACAGCTCTCTGACTAGATAGGCCCTCATTAATAATAAGCTGAAGGGTGTGAGCAGTGCAGCTTAAATCAGGAAGTTCAGCCAGCCTCATTCCTTTTACCATGTTTGCTCCCCCATCTCTTAGGACAAGAATTGATTTGTCAATGCAAATAATTTCAATGATAGCTGCATCAATTTTGAGAGACCTTGGATCTGTGTCCTTTCACCCTGTCTTGCTTTCAAAAAGTTGAAACACTGATGGCTGAGAAGAATCTTTCTTGTCCCTTTTTTTCTTAGCTTCTTCATTGACTTCTGGATGGATATGCTTCAGACAAGTCCACATGTTCGTAGTATTTTTACTTGTAGATGTTGATGCCCCCATGCTGATTATTTTGTCACAGATATTACACTGTGCTTTCCCTGGTGATACTTCAGTCAAATACTCCCACAATGGTGCTTTCTTCAAAGCCTATGCCGTCTGAAAATAATTTAAACATTAACATATTGAAGGTCAAATGTTTGTTTCTTTAGCTATAACATAGAAACATGTATGTAAATTTGACAGAATTAAAAAAATTAAATATCAAAAATTGATGCTAGAACTTTTCTTAGAACAATCTTTTTTAAGGCAACAAAGTGTCCGAATACTTATCAATTTGAACAATATGTGTATTGTTTTTAGTGCTGCCAATTGATAAAAAAAAAACAAACGAATTAATCGCGATTAATCCCACCTAACGTTAAAGTTTTTAAATATACTTTTATATTGCAGTAATTTTACATTCAATCTTCAAATTAATGTACAAACAACATAAAGACAGTATATTTTTAAATATTTGTTTAATGGCATAATTTTTTATGACTGAAGGCCAGTATCAATGATACCAATACTGATTTCTCTATAAAATTGCCCACCCCCTAATATTTAACCATTGACGATAGCCATTCAACATTGCAGTATAATTGAGAGCTATCAATTTTAACATTAGACTTTAAAAAATAACTTCTAATTTAAATGAACTTAAAACAATCTTCACATAAACCCATTATAATAAATGTCATATTTACCTGTGCCC